CGGCCATGCTCCGATTTGGCGCGCTGCCTACGGCTGGAAAGGGTAATTGGCAAAACTGTAGCCAGATCTCTCTGGCGGTCGTCAGCGCGTCGTCGATATTAATCTTGAACAGTGCTTTCCGGATTTATCCCATGAAGAATCGTCAACAGATAAAAAATGCCGTGCTATGAAAACGTAGGTGATTTCATTAATGGAGATGTCAATCGTGCTGTGGTGGTCGAACAGATCGTCTTAAACGCACTGGTTAGTAAATACGCGGCCTGGAGCAATCGATGCGCATTGAAAAAAAAATGGCCGAGGCGTGAAATCTTATTAAGGCGGCAGCTTACCGAGTCTGAATTGGAGGACCGCTTGCTAGCACTGCACATCTATCCAAGGTCAATAGTATCGCAACACAAAAAAAGCCCTCTAATTCGATCGAGTTACTTATAGTCGGCGAAAATAGCTATTTTGTAAATACAATATCCTCGAAAAAACACACGACAGTTGAATTAAGGCATTAAAAAAAAATTAACAAACCGGTTATGACGCCTGATCAAAATTTTCGTAGGGAGCTAAACGTTTTTGCACCGTTTTATGGGCGTACCAACCGCAAAACCATCACCGCAGAGTCACGACTGGCGCAAATCGCAAAACGCAGTTTATGTTGCCATTTTACCCGGAACACTGGCGGACGGCGGGCGGAAAAACTCGATGGTTCGGGATATATTTTTATGGATTTGGAAGCCAGCAGCTTGAGAATTTCCCCCAGCGATGACGAGATTGGCAGGATGCGACACAAGACAATGCATCATCGGAAAATTGTTCGCCTAACCTGAACCAGTAATTTCTTGGAGTATCATCAACCGCTTCAAATCACGACCCGCAGCGAACGCAAATACTACCCATGAGTACCCGAATCCACGCAGTTCGGTTATCGGCTAGTTTCCTTGCGTGTATTACATTGTTTCTGGGTTTTTGCATGCGATCTGGCATGGTTAAGACCGCAACACTTATCGGTTTATCTACGGCATCGTTTTTGGGCGTTACCAACTCAATCAAACTAAACCAACAGGTGGGATTCACTGCCGCAATCGTCGGCGAAAGGTCGTGTGCATGTCATCGCCTTTGTTAAAAAACTTTATTAGTCAGTCTCTGTTATTTACAAGCTTCACTAGCAACCGCTACCAGACCATCCGGGCTAATTTTTCCTCGAAGGCATTGAGGCGGGCATATACCTGTTTATTTTAACACTGCCGACCAATTTGTTCGACGACATCATCACTTTTCTTATGATGGAAACCGAGCTCTGGCCCGCGAATAACTGATTGTCAGACCGCCAAGCAAAGAAAACATTCCGATTATTCAGATAAATCCCGGCTTTCGGAAAAATCGACGCGAGGCACCTGTCTGTTGTCCGTTATCTATTACGTCGAGCTTTACGATCGCATTCGCCTACACTTGCCCGTACGAACTCGACCAAAGCATATCTCATTTGGCCTGGGTGCCGAATCCGAAATACATCAAAGCGTTGGCAATTTTAAAAATCCAGAATCGAACCGAAGAAACTTATGAACGCTCATTGAGTAATGATTATCTTATTGCTTGCGTCAACGCACGAAGAACGAAAGAAGCGATGTTTCTTTACAGAACTTCCCAGCGCAAAAAATGGCACAGGCCCACATCATTGTATGACACCGCGCCATCCGCCCGTAGTCAGGCTATTCAAGAAAGCAATTGTCGGACCAGGGGTTTATTTATAGCTGTTCCAGTGAAGGACAGGTTCCCCCACCTCAAGACACAGTTTATTTGGCCGATAGCTCGAGAGTATTGCATGATAGGCGCATGCAGATTAGTGGTAATGGGTGGTTCATTCCGCCGTGAGCATATGTGCCAGCCACTCGGATGCGCAATTAATTACAGCCCATCGGATGGCAATATAAAAGCGACATCGAACTACTCGCGACAAGCATATGGTTCAAGTCGATAAATATGGCCAGTTTTGCTGGGCAAGCAAATCGACTATTGGTTAAGGCCATTGCCGGCGAAAGAAAAACGTTCGCGAACAGCGCGAAACCGCAACTGCAAAAACCAGGGCAATATCACCGATGCTTATCTTCAAAGGAAAGTCGAACCCTATCGTATAAAGTTCGACTGGTGATAACCCGGTCGCCATCCAGCAGCTGCCAGTCGTCTCCCGATTAGCTGGTAAGACTTTTCTGCTTATCAAATTTTATGACAACGAATCGTTGGCAGGCGGTAGTAGGTCCGACACATTTGCCAAATCGAGGTCCTTTCATTTTTGACTTTTATCGGAAATTCGATTATGTAAAATTCAAGATGCCTGGTCGATCAGTATATTATTGGCGTTTAAATCAGCATGGCGAAAATCCCTTACGCTGCAAGCTCTAATCAACAGCCCGAGCTGATGCAGTGAATTGATCGAGCACGCGGTGCGATAAAATAAATCGCCAGTGTTCCGTCCGTCCGAGAATAAGCCGTCATAAATTGCGGGCGGCGATAAAAACAAGCCCACTCTTACCAGATACACAGCGCCCAGTGGTTTTTGCCACCTGGCAGACCAGCCGCACTGGCGTCTTTCTGCTTGCATCGCGGCCACGGCCGAGAGCGGGATTTCCCAACAGATATAACGATCTTTCGAAGACTGGCGATCATGCCAACACGTTAAATATTAGACGCAAAATTAATAGCTCAGCATTCAGGTCGGCCTTATGCTGCCGCCCGGGCCAGCCATCGACAATTAAAACACGGGTTTATCCGCGCCAGTAATTCTGCATCAATAGCCGCTCCGAGTTTACTCGGTAGCGTTTCATCCTGCAAGATGTAGCATCTTGCCGATTCATTTTTCTGACGCATAAGCACCTATGATTAGAATTGTGCACAAGCGCCGAAATCCCCTGTGTATTTTTCAGGCATCTTTCGCGATTGTGACGTCACCCGAACATTCTACGGTTAATTCATACCGTGCAGAAAGGTATGGCCGCAAACCAGAGTTACCTGGTGATAGGCAAGCTCGAATATTCAACTGGTGAAATCACTATCCGGGGTTTGAATTAATTCCAGTTTAACAAAAGCCGAAGGCTGAAGGCTTATTTTAATCTACGGCAGACAGCTCAGGGCCGTCAATTTGATGGTTTTGCTGATGATGCAGCGGGCGTTACCGCGAGTATTCGGCCAGCCTGTTTATTCCGGCAAAACCATAAACGCGTTTTTTGACCGAGCATCCGTGCCGTCGACTTTCAATGGTTTAAATTTCCAATTGCCAATCAGCGGTGATCAATCGTGTGCCATGTACTCGATGGCTCTTTTTCAGTTCCTCGAAGCGCCTGGCCTCGGTATCGAAGAAAAACTTTAACGATTGGGAGTTGCCCGATGCCGAAGCCGATTTACCTATTGCTAGCAAGGTAACCGGTAATAAAGCTTATGTCGTCATCAACCCTTGTAAGTAGCGTCCCGTAAAAAACAACTGGCGCAATGGCCCGAAACCGATATGCCCGAAATCGTTGAATTATCTGCATCAAAAATAGGGATGTTGTTCTAACCTGGTGGGCAATTCAAACAATGGAAAAGGAATTTTGGGCAAAAAACATTGTTTAGGCAAATGTAATGCACTCCATTTTTAAAATTTAATCGGTAAAACTTCGTCGGCAACTTTGCTTTATTAAAAATCCGAATTATCTATCAGCGCCTGAATACCGGCCCGGCACATAGGCGGACCATAGTCGATACGCCGGTGATCCGACTCTTCGCACAGTAACAGCGAACCCTGCCCGCACCGGACCCTATAAAAGTCGGCTGTTTTAGGTGAATCGATACGAAGACCCTTAAACGGCTTTATCAGAAAATCCAATCGATCAGCTAAGCTGGGGTGAGCGGGTGCGTGACCCAAGGCTGTATGGAGCTCAACATTACGGTTGATGACGTTAAAGAAAAGTATGAGCCGGTTATGCACCTTTCACTTATACCGAGTTAAAAACTTGTTATCCATTCTGCTCCAGCCACCAAAGGTGGCCTAATGAGTTGCCAGCATGACTGTCCGTGTATTTAACTTTTGCAGGGAACAGGCAAGCGATGAACTGCTGCGCAAAAGACCCTAGCCAAGAAGCTTATAGTTAATCATTTTAGTAGCATGGAACAGGCTTTTAATATGATTTGCTGCTCGCGTCCCACTTTGTCCATCAGTACGCGTCAAACATAATTTTATTGGCTTTTTTACTCTGGAATTCAGATCGTTTACGAAGGCGTTTGCCAAAATGCATCTTCTATCGCCGTATTAAGCTTGATCCAGATTTTCAATCTGATGGCTAAAATTCGGCAATTAATGCTTTAACCTCTAGTACGTACGCTTTCCAATCGGCAAAGTTTGGAATGTGATCAATGGGTTTTGTCCAGTGCGCACACTCCGCCATATGACTGGATCACCAATCATACATTTGAAATTTGAATATAAGGTAAGACATCAGGCGAATCGATAAAATAACTCCTTCGGGTTTGTCTTATTCTTTTCTTTGAATCGATACGCTAGTCCAAGGAATCGGACAGTCACTCTAAAACATGATTACTTTTTCGTGAAAAGAAACAGCTTGTCCAAACAAAGTTCAACTGCGAAAATATCTGATTCATCCCATGTTGACGGTAAAATAAAAACGCAGGGTTGTTTTTTATCAGTTATCCCAGCGATTTGGCGAATAATGTAGTAGTGCATCAAGGTCCTAAAAAACTGCCATCAAAATGCGGGGTCAAGTTTAGGAAATCCAATGCTTTCCGCTTTTTAATGTCCAATCTCTTAGCTCGCTCGAAACTTCATGACTCCTAGTCCATGTAGAAATCCGTTAATAGATTGTAACTTTTAACATTGCGAACGTTTGAAGGTGTTAGGCTCCAGTGACGCATTCTATTCTCTGATTATGCCGGGCGGAAACTTGTGAACCACCCTGCTTACACATAAACACGCCATCTGGAACAACGCGGATTAAACCACGGATTCGATGCCTATACCTTTAGCTCTGCAAATGAACCTTTTTTGGTTCCTGCAACCGATACGGATCGGTGGCAGGTGCTTCTGCACAGCAAAAAAATTTGGTAGTCCAGTGTATTCGCAACAATAGAACAGCAATTCCGTCGGGTCTATTTCATGCGGCTTTGCAACCGATACCAGTGTGTAAGGCCATTTGATAAGATAGTATGACAATACCATTCAGGATCCTTTGACTAATGGGTAATAATAACTATGATTTCGATCTATTAGACTATTATGAATGGAGATTATGTCGATAGTGTTTTTCACTCAACACGAACCCCTCATGCCGGAAAATTCCTGATCCTTTCAATAATATCGGTACTTGAATAACCCTCGAGTAAATCGATGGTCTCGACTCGGCCACCGTTTTTCAGAACAGCATCGGCACCAGCAATTTGATCGACCCGATAATCGCCACCTTTAGCGAGAATATCCGGCAGGATTTCACCAATGATTCGCTCGGGCGTGTCTTCACCAAAAGCCACCAGATAATCGACACTGGATAATCCGGCAAGCACCTGCATACGTTGATTGAGTGGATTTATCGGCCGTTGCATGCCTTTTAAGCGCTGCACCGAAGCATCATCATTGATCGCAACGATGAGAATATCGCCGAGCGCCTTGCATTGCTCAAGATTGGCAACATGGCCGGGCTGTAGAATATCAAAACAGCCGTTGCTCATGACTACCTGCTTCGACCCGCGTCGCGATTT